ATTAGTTTTTTGTGCTTATTTTTATTTATTAGCATAAATCTTTATTAAATTTGCAGTAGCCTATACTGTGCCTGCACAGTAGTTTTGCATTCTAATAGTTTTCTCTGCATTTTTAGCTGCCTACCAGGACAGAGCAATGGGAGGTGAGAAGTTGTTAATTCACTTGTGTATAAGTGCATTGTTTGATTAGCATATACTGTTTATTGTACAGTACTGTACTGTACTCTGTGTATCAGTACAGACAAACTTAAGTACTTACCAATAAATACAAGAGAAAAATTGTGGGCTATATTGCAATTTTTAATATATCTGTGGTTGATTGTATAACCTTTTCCATGGCTAGTGTTGGAAAGGTACACAATTGGTTCAGCCTGAACCAATTGTGTGCCTCTGTAACCCTTTCCACCACCACCCACGGGATGTGTATTGGCGGTGCATAATAAAGAAATGATAATAATTATTATTAATAATAATAAGAAGTGTGTGTGTGCTTTAGCGTCACAAGATAGTCTTCACAGGCTTCACCTTATCAGTAATCACTTTTCTGGAGGGGCTGAACATTGGCTTCCTGAAGCTATCTGGCTTAGATGGCCCCCCCTTTCCCTGCTGAGTCACATCTGCCATAAGAGTCCTGTATGGCTAGAACTCCTAGAATTCTAGCTAGAGCTAGAACCTGGGACACCCTCTCAGAGGCACAGGGCATAGGGGATTATTACAATCGCCCTCACTGAGAAAACGTCCAAAAAGTAAGCGAAATTATACGCACAATGACAGGGTTCAAGCAAAACAAAGCACTGAAACAGTGGAACTACTCTGCATATGATTCACTCAAATACTAGCTTGAATCCCCCTTTGTTATGGCCGCCCACCAACATGTGGCAACGCACTGAGTGCTCCCAACCATCTCGGTTCATGGCCTTCTTGGCTCTGAACTGAGGCAAAGATAGCATGGAGGCCAGGAGCATCTGGGGTACTGCCATTTCTTGATGGCCAGTAGAAACTCGGGCCATTCTCATGGTTTGCCACAATGTACAGAATACAAAGTCCTAACATAACCAGAAACCTCCAAACAGAAGCAACCCACCTAAGCTAACAATGCATAGAAAGTGGATATTTCTGAGCCACTACTTTTTATAGTACAGTACTTTATATTTTTGTACATTGGGAGCCATAAAGTATATAGTGTTCTTATAGTAGTTAAGAGGACTGGTTTCATAACTAAGGGGAGTCTAGCTAGTTTCTGAGTGAATCATTTGAACCAGTTGTTTGACTGTTTCAGTGCTTCATTTTCCTTGAACCTTGCAGTTGCCTGTATTGCTTTGTTTAGTTTCTGCTTATTTTCTACATGAGTGTGATTGTAACAATTTCCTATGCCTCCATGAGGAAGCCAGGGTGTGGCTCTGGTCCCCAATAGCCATACAGGGCTCATATGACTGATGTGACTCTTGGTGAGATGCCTCCTCCTGATTGACAGTTTCAGGAAGCCATCTAAGCTCTTCCAGAAAAGGTGTTTCATCACATTAAACAGTTTTTTATCACTCGTATTTTTATAATTTTGTACAGTATTTAGTTTAAGAATGTGCGGTAAAAATAAAGGTTGATTTAGTATGTATATGGAGGAGGGAAGTATTGTAGATGTAGTGTGTGAAAGAGGAGGCACTAAGTACAGTGGAATCTCGAGTGATGAGCGACTCCAGTTACAAGCATTTCGAGTAACGAGCGAGCCACTTGCAGAAAATTTGTCTAGATTGACGAGCTTTTGCTCGATTAATGAGCAAACTAAATGGTGTTTCTTAGCATTCCCGCTGGTTCTCGGACACCTCCGACGACAGTGTTGTTGTTGTTGTTACGCAAGACGAGCACTTCACATGACGAGCTCGGTGCCGGAACGCATTAAATTCGTTAATCGAGGCTCCACTGTAGTACAGTATTTGAAAAATTGAACATTTTTAGTTACATAAACAGGAAATCATAGACTTTTTAAATGACAGCTTGCCACCAAATCTATACTTTGAGAGAATGTCCATCTGTCTGTAAAGTTGGAGGCCAGGCGCTTGAAATTAGCCTTACACAAATTTGAAGGGGAAATGGTCTAGGGTACAGGAGGAACATAAGCTGATAGGGATAGGCCTAAATTAAATCATTAAAGAATTATTAGTAATTATTGATGCCTCCCATCCAAATCCTACGGATTCACTTCTGGACACGTGTGATATATTGGGGTCAGATGCCCTAAGAAGTTTATTGTTGTAAAATTGTTTTTTCTTGAGACCCATACAGTAGTTTCATTGCTCCCTAATGATATACTTTATGAAGTGGAAAAGGGGAAGATGGGGGGAAGGGTGGGGTGGAAGAGGGGAAGATGGGGGCGAAAGGGTGGGGTGGAAGAGGGGAGAAGAGTGGCGAGGACAAACTAGAGCCAACTAGGAATGAAAACACACTCGACCTGAGGTTAAAAAACAATGAAGACATAATCAGAGATATTACAATCTCAGATACTACTTACACCTAAGGGAGCCGGTCGGCCGAGTGGACAGCACGCTGGACTTGTGATCCTGTGGTCCCGGGTTCGATCCCGGGCGCTGGTGAGAAACAATGGGCAGAGGTTCTTTCACCCTATGCCCCTGTTACCTAGCAGTAAATAGGTACCTGGGTGTTAGTCAGCTGTCACGGGCTGCTTCCTGGGGGTGGAGGCCTGGTCGAGGACCGGGCCGCGGGGACACTAAAAAAAGCCCTGAAATCATCTCAAGATAACCTCAAGATAACACCATGAGCTCATTGTAGTTCAAACTAATATCAATACCTGTAATAGGTATTGATATTAGTTTGAGGTATAGATATTAGTAGTTTGAGGTATATTAGTATTTGAGGTATTAGATATTAGGTATAGATATTAGTCTGAGGATTAATAAGCGAGAAGATTTATTCAATCAATTCGGTGTTAACAATAAGAGGATTGACTGGGAAAAATTATAGAGCTTGCAAACATCCAATGTAAAAGTCTTAAGCTACAAAACTCCCACACGGAATATATAGCACAACTGACTGCTGAAGCATACAAAGTCAGCATGAAGCATGTACCTTTGCAGAGAGTCAGAAAGAGGATATCTCTAGAAAAATAAATCAGACAACTCTACAAAAGAAGGGAAAAAATAATGGTAATGATAAAACAGACACTACTTTCACAACAAAGAAAAGGAAATCTAAACGGAGAGGTTGAAGAAATAGAGCAGACGGTGAAGCACGATCATACCAGTCTGAGGATATGAAAATGGAATAGAAAGCTATTCAAGAGATTAAGAAAAATTAAAACTATTGTTCATATATGCAGTATCAAATTAACCACACTCGAGTAGTCATCCACAGCAATAACCCTCAACTTCATTAGATCAGGTGTACAGTGTTCTTGACATAGTCATACATGGTATAAATACAATTCACTCCCTCGTAAAAGCTTCCTCCACCCTCCCGTGCCCCCTGCAATATTTAGGGCATTGCTTGCTTTCAATCCCGGCTTCCTCAGATACTTCCTCGTCATGTCCCACAGTCTTCTTTCCAGATGTAAATTTAACAGCTTTGCTTAGTTATATTTATGGAAGACTTGTTTCATGAGAAAATCCCAAACATTGAGTTTACTGAAGCAGTATACATATTAAAGAATTTTCCTTTTGTATAAATACATTCTGTAAAATGAAGCAGTCTGGGTAAATCAGTTCTCCCTGAGTAGTGTCACTTACAGATTTTGTAGTGTTCAGTATATAAATTTATCTATGAGTGCTGCTTCAAGGTTCATCCTGAAATAATGTGTCATTTTAAGATCAACATAACCGGTACAGCCAAAGTGGTTTGAGAAGTGGAGCTGCTGTGCAATCATATGAGCGAAATTACTCCGAGGCTACAGGTATGTTAAGCTTAATCTACATCAAATTTTAGTTTGTGGTGGCTGTCTAATGTTGAGGCGAGCATCGAAATGTAGAAGGTTGCAGGATTATACGATTTATAATTTGTGGTTATAATAGATCAGCTGCTTAAACAAGAACATCCAGGATATGATTGATCACTACTGTCATTCACTTTATGAATCGGAACAAAGACTTTTAATGATTAAGTGACTTCATGGACAGGTGGTATTGCTACGTATGTTTGGCTTAAACATTTACAGTACTTTCAAATGGTGTTGGTGAAAGGAAAAGGTAAAGGATTGAAGGTATTTTTAGTCATGTTGTAATACACTTGTATATTTCTGTTATGCATGACTGGATTTCTTTTCTTTACTCAGCTGCGTGGTGGAACATAGCCGGCTTGCAGCAGATGGAATTACTTTCGAGACTGCAGGGTGGCCTAGGCAGTGGGAGTGGGCAGGCTGGAGCAGCGGCTGCAGTTGCAGCAGCTACAGGGTCTCTCGGAGGTTACGGGGGACTACACCCAGAGCACCTCATGAACCTGGAGATTCTTCAAGCACAACATGGTCAGTATCAAAATTTGTGTAATGTTAGTATCTTTGGTGCCTCGCTTTGATAATCGGCTAAACCACTGCACTGCGCATAGTGCCTTAAGACACTCGATTAACAACTGCACCATGAAGTTGTCACATGAAATAGGTGTGCAGTGCGGGGATTGAGGATTACTTTCTCTTGTAAACCTTCATTGCTGATGAGCTGAATCACATTTCTAGGAGTTGTGGTAGATGGTTTCCATGTACTATGTCTCATCAGATGTGGAATTGTTAAGACTTGATGGGGATCAGAGAGGCAGAACCTGGCCTCCCTTTAGAGGAGAGAAGGGCCGCAGGAGATATTATCCCTTTTCCAAATGAGGAATAATCAGGCAAGATATAGGTTGAAGCTAGAAATGCAAATGAGTCAGAAAGACATAATAAAACACTTGTTTAAAGAGTGGGTTGTCAAAGAGTAAAATGGGTGGCAAGAAATTTAGAGGACCTAGTACCAGTAGTTACAAGGCAGGGTCCAAAGAGCCAGATTCTGATAAGTATTGATAAACACAGTGTATATATGCAGGTACTGTTGAAAAATTGAATAATTGATTTAATAGTAAGGATAATTAATAATCCAAATTGTTTAACTTGATACAGCAGCAGCCATGGCAGCAGCTCTGTCTACCAGCAAGAGTTCAAGTAGCAGTTCAAAATCCTCCAAGAATAGTAAAAGTGTTAGTAGTAGTAGCAGCAGCAACAACAGCAATGGTAAAGGTATCACTAGCACCCTCAGCTACCGAGGTTCTGCTGCGACAACTACCACAACGTACTCTAGTAGAGGGCAAGAACCATCCAGTAACAGCAGTCGCGCGAGCCTAGAAATCAGTCGTCTGGCGTCCTCCTCACACTCCTCGTCTTCCAACGCCAGTAGACCTCCAAGCTACCCTTATAGTACTTCCTCATCGCATCGCTACAGGCAAGTGCTTGTGTATGTTATACAAATGCCTGTATAGAGCAAAGTCGGGGAACCTCAGTACAGTACACACTTAGCTCTGTTGCAGTTTTTAGTTTTATTGTGTTGCAATTTTATTAATTGTATTTTGCATACTCTATTTGTGCTATGATCCTTTACCTTTGTTCTCAGGTGAGTTAACAATATGAATCTTAAAGCGGAATTTAGAAAATAATTATACTTATTAACACTTACGCTGCACCGGCGGGCGACCTGCCGTGCACCTCAAGGTAGGCTGAGCTGGGTGCGCTAACTCATCACCTCCACCCACAAATGTTTATACTCGTTTTAGCTTTCTGACCTCAATTTTCGTAATATGTTGTTCAATTTAATATCAAATTGTTCACAATAGACGGCTTTAAAGGAATATGTACATATAAGAACATATAAAGTCTCGCTTTAGACCTGCCACACACCACAAGGTAGGCCGAGAGCTCACCCCCACATAAAATTGTTTGTACTCTTTTCAGCATTCTGACCTTAATTTTTGTACTATGTTCTTCAATTTGGTATCAAATTGTTCGCAATAGAATGCTGTAAAGGGATATTTGCATATAAGAACATATAGAAAAGTGAGACTTTACACTTTCAACGAAAACCCAGTAACTTTTCCCTTCATACGTGTTTTTTCAAGGTTTTCATCATGGATTGGATCTGTTCTTGATCAGTATTCATCTGGAAGTCAATTTGCAGAGTTTATAAAGCCGGTAACAACAAATACCCGAGATAACATAACCAGAATAGGGAAATTTTTCGTCTCTAGGGGAGGCCACGGCTGTCACGAGCGAGGTTACGAAAACACTGAGCCTCCAGCATGGGTGGGCACCCACACAGCATGGTCAGGATGTCACGTGGGGTATACAGAGAATGGGTTGAAGTTGGCGTGCATTTAAAAAAAAAAAAAAAGTCCCATAGTATTCGGACGATAGATGTAATTTTTACAAATTTTAAAATTTTTGACGACATTTGCGTCATCGAGCATACTCCATATTTCGGTTTTGTGACATCGACAAATGTCATCAGGCAGAGAAAATGTTAATGTTCATTGATGAAGTAAAACTAAGAAGAAAAATTAAAGTAATTTGTTATTAATAACATTTGTATTTTTTGTATCTATTGTTAGGAAAAATTAAACCCCAATATTATATAGGCAATCTCATGCTTTGCACAGTAGTGCATTACAATAATAGTCTAATTCAGAGATAAATTGTTTTTTGCAAGTAAAACAATTAAAATTTGTTTCCCGGGGTGGTGTGCAGTTCGCCGCTGTCAGGCCTTGAAAGTGTATCTTCACACCATTCCGACCTGGGGTCATCACCGAGCCTTTCTTATGGCATTGCTAGTCTCATAGCCGATAAACATCCATCATCCCACCACAAGTCTCACTCTTCATCATCTTCAGCGAACAGTTCCTCAACACAGGCAGAGGTAAGCTTTATCTAATGCAATGTTGCAGGCAATAGTTTTTATTGTGACTTCAGGCAAAACTTTTTCATCGCTCAATGCTGTTTTGCATAATTATATTTACTGTTTATGGATCAACATTGCAGCTTGCCAGGCTTCTTAACTTCAGTATGTTGACTATTTTTTTAATGATTTAAGAGCTTATTACTATTAGCACCACAACATTTCTAATTAGGTCATGATAATTTAGGTGCACTTACACCACTGATGCCGACTTTACTTTAGATCTTTATGTACCCAAGTTGTCACAAGTGTCTATTCATCATGTTAAAACTAGCGTTAACACCTTTTCTTACACTAGCATTGTCACATAACACAAAGATTACTGCTACAAGGATAAGTGTGAAGGTAGTGGACACCAATATCAATTTAGGATTAAGGCCACCCATAACCCTTTTGGGGTAGCTAATGCTACCACCTGGTGGCTGTCATTGTTGCTGTCAAGCACTAAGCAGTAGTTAATGGTAGCTAATAAGCAGTTGGACCTAAACAACAAGTGTATACATACTGTAGTTTGAATTAGGTTTTGCAAATGTTGTCTAAGTAGTTGCTTGTTTTGGTGTTCTCTCCCTTTCTGGTGATTTTTCCTTCGATAATGTGGGTGATTCATTATCACCATTTTCCCCAACCTGGGGCCCCCGTAAGAGGGAGCCCCAGGTTGTGGTCCCAGGTGTAAGTAAGCTTCCATGAGTTGTTAGAGCATTGTGTGGTACCTGAGCTCAGAGGCACAGAGGGGGGACCCCACAAGACAGGCATTTCAGTACATCCTGCACTGCATTATTTTCTATACTGTTAACTGTTATTGAACATAGCTAAACTCATTTCAATTAGTTCATTAGAGTGAACAGACTCATGTTTTAATTGCTGCATTAAAAACACAAATTTTGCTTCTTCACACTTTTATCAGTTAAAAAAATATTGTTATATTTTGAATAATTATATATATTGAGTGATGAAAAAGGGTTATAGCTGAAGTTGGTATGTTCATACTTGTGGTTAAAATATCATGTTTTACATTTCTCAGTTTAGACTTCATTCAAGGAGGTCTTCAACTTAACAATATTTCAAATTATGAATTCACCGTGTAGTAATTTTGTAGCGTTGAAGTATTCGATATAATTTTTTCCTTTTGTGTGACAATATATGTTACTGTTGTAGTTTGAGAATAACAAATGTGTATGATGTGGCGCACTCACATTTTTAATGTGTGTTATCACTGTGTGCATAATTCTATCCAACACAACCCCCGCACTTTTATACAGGCAAGCTAAACACTTCTCGTGCACATTTTGCATTTTCTGAACTCGTGCAAAAAAATACACCTCGACACAATATAATACGTGTTTTGTATTGTATAGCTTGATTCATACTTACTTTTTCCATTACATATTATATGTCCAGCAAGCAAATGCAGGCGGGACAATGGAGAGAAATAATTTAGGGAGCCGGTCGGCCGAGCGGACAGCACGCTGGACTTGTGATCCTGTGGTCCTGGGTTCGATCCCAGGCGCCGGCGAGAAACAATGGGCAGAGTTTCTTTCACCCTATGCCCCTGTTACCTAGCAGTAAAATAGGTACCTGGGTGTTAGTCAGCTGTCACGGGCTGCTTCCTGGGGGTGGAGGCCTGGTCGAAGACCGGGCCGCGGGGACACCAAAAGCCCCGAAATCATCTCAAGATAACCTCAAGATAGGTAGAGAGTAAGTCTGAGGAAAGTTGAGAGAGAGAGACTGGAAGAGAATGGGATAATATTAATGATTGAATGATAATGTGGAACTTGAGGAAACGTAGCAGATTGCCAAACAGAGATTGAACATTACAAACTACAATACAGTCAATCAGTTGGACAAGTGTAAAATAAACTATGAAAGTATACAAGCAAGAAGAAATGATTTGTTGCAAAAATGGTTGTCAGTGGTATATGCATGGAAATGTTACTTTAAAGTAACAAGTTACTTTCAAGCAACAAGTTACTGTCAAGCAACAATGGGGCTATTGGCATTACAATATCAAGGTTATTGCAACCAGTGGTGTAGCAATACTTTGGCCAGTGGTGGAGCAACATTTTGGCCAGTGGTGTAACATTCGGGTCAGTTGTCAGTGGTGGAGCAACTTTTGGGTCAGAGGTGTAGCAGAAATCATGGCAGGAAGATTGATCATGTTTCCAGTAGGAATCAAGCAGTGGGGGGAAATGGTGGTAGGTTAGTAAGTGCACTAGTTAAAGAAGTAACTATGATTTTTGTCCATTAACTAAACATTTACTTGCCACTTTCTTCATACACACTTCATAATACCAATTTCAACACGTGCACATTTTTCAAGCGCATCTGCTGGATGCATAAACATATCGGCTCACATGTAACATGTATGCAGTGTACTTTATTATAATTACTCGTATGCCAACTAAAAATTGTTGCTATACACATGAAATACTGTAGTAACTATGTTATTTTGTTTGTTTTCCCTTTTTTACAAATTTTTAAAGAATTAGATGTTTGTAAATTGTGTAGCAGGTTGATATGACTAATATCTAAAGATAGAAATGACTTTTCTATATGATGTAGGCTAATATTTAAACATTCTTTGATTTTGTTAAAGCAAAATTGAGTCATTAATCAATTTTAGAGATGTATAGTTCACTATAGCAATGGTATGAAATTTCTCAAACTGTTGACATATATTGTGGTTTATTAGGGTAGGTCCCCTCATTATCTTCCTGAAGCTTAAGGTACTGGTGCCACTAAGGCTTCAGGCTGTATCAGTCCCCCAAGATTTGCATAGGCCTACTGGGAACCAGGAGCAGAATCTGGTGCTCTTAGTAAGACCTGTTGTTGAAGGGGGACCAGTGAGCAAACAAAGAGGCTAAGGAGAACCAAGCAGAATGTCCAGATGTAACAAAACAAATCATACCTCAAAAGAAAAAACAAACGAAGGAAAATAATGCAAGTGATAATTTGTGACACGTGAACAACCCCGGTTCCAACTCACTTGGCCACCAGCAGATGGCAGCCTAGACCATCTGGTCACCTTGTGGTGATTCTGAGGACCAATGTCACTGTGGCCTGGTCTCGTACCAGGCTTCTTGGCTGGTGATCTGGTCGACCAGGCTGTTGGACGAGGGTACTCACAACCCAACATAAGAATCGCAGCCTGAATGATGATCAGGGTTATTGCTGTTTTTTATTCTTTTTGCTACACCATTGTATTTATGCCACCCCACACTGTTTTTTTTCCCCTGACTCATATTTCAGCCATACTAATTTCCCATACTGTTGGTTTGTATTCTCTTTTATAATGGGAGGAATTTGAGTGTTTGATTCTATCTACATGCTTAGGTAAAAACCTTACCCTTTAAATCCTTCTGGTTTGAACATTAGCTGACACTCTGGTTAGCTATCATTGGCTGACCAGAGTAGCAATATGGAGCCTGTCAGCTTCCCATTCCTACTCTGTTGTTCCCTTCTTCTCAATGGGGTTTTTAGTTTTGAGGATTTTGTACTGGCAACTTATGTGCGAGACAGTTTGTGTATTGGGACCTAGAGTGACCTGGGTTGCCATCTGGTGGCAGCCGAGCTATTAGAACTGGAGTTGTTAACCCATCTGTTATTTTCCTCCCTTCACTTCTTTCTTTCAACTAATGGTTCATTTTGCCTCAACTGGCCTTTCTGGTGAGGTTTCCTTGGTTTTGGGTGAATCTCTGATGCCCATTATTCTCTTGCCTCATTGATTGTTTGTTTATTATATACCCAATACCTATTCCATGAGCAGCAATGGAAAAGGTTACAGACACACATAATGGGCTCAGGAATTGGTTTTCATGCGTCACTAAGAGAACCAGATTCTGGTCCTGGTTCACAGTAGGTCTTGAGTAAGTCTCGGAAGCCTAGTATAACTGAGAAGCTCACTGCTGCTAGTCCTTGAGCTCCAGGAAGCTACTTAGTCCAACAAGAAAGGAGTGTTTCATTATTCATTGCTTGATTTTTAAACATTATTTCTGAATAAAGCTATTAACAAACTAAGGTGGAACATCTTTCAAGCACACTCAATGATAACATTGTTCATGATTTTAATATTGCTCTTTGTATAATAGTCATACAGTATTTGCTAATATATTTGCAATATATTGTATGATATACAGTACTGTATCTAATATTTGCAACTTCATATTATTCTGCTTCATCTTGTCTCCATTTGGATCTTGTTATGCTGTTTTCAATAGATGAATATAACTTTTATCACATTTATATGAATGTAAAATGTAATTTTGAATTTACTTACTCTCTTTTATTATTCTTGCTGATGTAGGAAGATGCGTAGGGTTGTTTAATAGCCTATGGACCAACTTGCATATCTCGGCAAGGTATACTAATGCAAAGTGAGAGCATCTTACATTTCATGGAAGACAAATATTTTTATCAATGAAATTGTGCAGTTGAATAATTATTAGGGGGTATTGAATGTAATTATTTGTTGAAGAAATAGACATATAGGGGTACCTCGGTTTAAGAATTTAATTTGTTCCTGGAGACGGTTTGTAACCCGAAAATTCGTAAACCGAAGCGAATTTACACGTAAGAAATAATGGGAAATGAATTAATCCGTTCCTGACTCCCCAAAAACTTCTCTTCAAAGTAAATTTTTATACCAAATTCAACCAAATCTTCACTACAAAAGTATATTTAAGTTATTACTTACCCTTGCTAATGACTCCCGTTGGCGTATGGAAGATGGTGAGGAGGAGAGGTGTTATTGTTTGCCCTTCCATTATAACATCAGGCAGTGAAGATTTCTCTGGAGTGCACACTCTGGCACATTTTTCCTGCTTACCACTAGGTCTTGGTTGTGGCTTACTGCTTGATTTTCTCACTTTTCTCACAGGGAAACGTTCCATTGAAGATTGTTTTTCCCTGCTTTGCAACATTTGTCTGTAGTGAGGCATCACATTGTCATTAAAAAGATCAATGCAATGGCCTACTACAGCTTTATCTGGGTGATTCTTTTCAGCAAAACTTTGCAGTCCTTCCCATACTGCACACATTTTCTTAATTAATGAGGAAGGGACATTCTTTACTGCCTCCTCTTCCTCCCCTGAAAATTTGTTGTACTGCCTAGCTAGTTCAACAACACGAGTACCATTTTCATGCTTACAAATGATCTCTTGTTTTTCCTCTATGGTCATTCTCACATGTGATTTCTTGCCTTGAACCTTACCACTGGCTTTCTTGGGACCCATGGCGAGATATATAATAACAACTTTTATGCTCAAATGGCCAAAAATTCGACAAAAAAAAACTAAATTTTTGTGAAGAATTCAGGCTGGATAGTCACTGGGCGCAAGGCACTAGAAAACTGAGGCACGATCGCCGTGCCACCACTCACTAGGCCGGTCGTACACGTATCAACAAACTCGTATCCCGATGCAAAGTTCGTATCCTGATTCAAATTTTCCGAACAAATCGGGCTCGTAACCCGAAAAGGTCATAAACAGGAACGTTCATAACCCGAGGTACCACTGTATTCGATGTACATATTTGAGTCGAGTATTGCCTGAATTAGCTGGGACAGTCGTTTCAAAAGGAGTAAATAAGGAATACTGTTATTTGAAATTTAATTTTGAGCTTAACTATGCAGTATGGATAGAATTTAATGGTATTAAGGATTTAATACGCAACGTTGTGAGTTTGAGCCTGTTTAAATGCCTGTTCTTGCATACACTCCAAACAGTGTATTGTATTAAATTATGTGATGTCACAGTTGACCACTTGTTGTATAATAAAATGTGGTATTATAGAAGGTACTGTAGAAAAGATAATTAGTTTTAAACTATTTTATGTCAAGAATAACATGATACCTGGTTGATACCTGGTTGATGGGGTTCTGGGAGTTCTTCTACTCCCCAAGCTCGCCCCGAGGCCAGGCTTGATTTGTGAGAGTTTAGTCCACTAGGCTGTTGCTTGGAGCGGCCCGCAGGCCCCCATACCCACCACAGCCCGGTTGGTCTAGCACTCCTTGGAGGAAACAATCTAGTTTCCTCTTGAAGATGTCCACGGTTGTTCCGGCAATATTTCTTATTCTCACTGGGAGGATGTAGAACAGCTGTGGACCTCTGATGTTTATACAGTGTTCTCTAATTGTGCCTATGGCACCCCTGCTCTTCACTGGTTCTATTCTGCATTTTCTTCCATATCGTTCACTCCAGTACGTTGTTATTTTACTGTGTAGATTTGGTACTTGGCCCCTCGAGTATTTTCCACGTGTATATTATTTGATATCTCTCGTCTTCTTTCTAGTGAGTACATTTGGAGGGCTTTGAGACGATCTCAATAATTATCTCTCTCTTTACAAAGCATTAATTAAATTTTTGTAGTACTGTACAGTATTTCTTAGGAAATGGCCAGTCCAAGATTTTGAAGATAGTTCGGGGAGGGTAGGGGGTGTACTTGGGGCCTGATTTTGTTGGATTTTGACTGTTATTCGGCAATGGTTCCTGAGCTGGAAATAGTTTGGAAAACGTCTTGAGCAGTTTTCCCCAGGTTTAAAAGGATATTTGCTCTAGATTGCTTGGACTACAAAGCATTCTAATAATATTGTACTGACAGATAGAAAAACAAAACAGAGGGATTGCTAAAGAAGCATTTACTATTTTAGTGAGACAAACAATTGATTTAATTGGTATGTAAGGTTAAATTACCTGGCCATTTAAAAGTGCCGTTTCTTGGAATGCAGAGTAAGGGTTCATACAGGTTTCTGGACAAATGTGCATCAATGCAAAATTGATTTTATGTACAATGATTTAGCACATGACATGCAGCTACAAATTGAATTACAGTCTGTTGGTTATTACTATAGATTCAATGTTACCATAGTAATCATAACACAAATTATGTAGTTGCTCGTAAAAAAAATAATTAATATTTTAATATACATGTTTTGTTAATCATCAAACTTAACGTTGAACTTGTTTTAATATATAGATGATGTGATTGGATTTTGAAGTGAACACTTTGAAACGGAAGATATTTGTTGTGCACTCTGCCTAAGTGCGGTGAGCTGGTCCATGGGCTAGGAAATGACGGCTATCACCCATCACAGTTGAAGTAGAGCTTGATGATGGTCTTCTTATCTACTCGTGTTATTATCTCGACGTTTAATTGTCATTTTTAGTGTTCTGTATCTGATCCATTTCAATTTCCCTAATCGTGGAAATGTTCCAATGTGATTTATTAATTTGGAAAAAAATTAAATATTTGCAGATACAGAACACTAATAAAACAATATTTGAATTATACATTTATTTTAGTTTGTCTTCAAGGTATTTTGAAGATAATCAGCCGTAGTTTTCTGTATAGGAATGTATTTTTGCATGCTATTTACATCCTTTTTCAAATATTGCTATGTAGGTAGATTCCATTACTTGGTTCCTTTTGATGATCTTACAAATCTGAATTGAACTTTGGAATGGCATGCTATTGTTCTGTGTATTGAGTTTTATGTATTAGTTTGTTTTTTTACTCTCTCTCCACACCTGTCACCTTCCCGCCTTCCTGTCTGCCTGCACTGTTGTGTGCACGCCGGAATGTACACTCCATTGCGCACACACCCGTCCGTGGCACACAAACTCTTGTGTGTAGCGGGTTGCCGAGAAACTGGCAAGTAATGGGAGTGTGTCCATCTCCAAGGCCATCCGAAACAAGGAGTTAGAAATTATTCCCATCTCGCCGGCCGCGAAGGGGAATTCTCAGTCCCACGGGAGTGCACCGCCTCACCGGGACAAGTCCGAGCCCAAGGTGTCCATATCGACGGTTGGGTCTGGAAACTCGCGCTTGTCGAATGGTGTCCCAAGTAGTGCGTCGTGGCGTGAGGAAAGTGCCAGTGTATCAATCGAGCCGTGTGGTTCTGGGACCCCGGCGTCTGCTGATGATGCACCATTAAATCTCTCCATGAAAGCTCCATCTTTGAAACCTTGTGAGTACCACTTACAGTATTTGGGATAATTTGAGTATTTGAAAGAATTCCTTCATGTTATTTCATAGATCAAATTTATTAATAGTGATTTTGGTATAAAGAAGCAATAGAAAAGTTTGTCTTGGGCTTTTAATATTAAAATGTTAATTATTTACTTTGTTCAGCTACAGTGGAACCTAATTTGTGCTTCATTTATACTGTATTGATTAGTGATTCTTGAAAGACTAAAATCAAGAGAGGTATTACTTGAGTCTGAACTGTATTTGGATACAAGGTTAGGTAATAAATTATCAGGAGAAAGTACTAAGCCAATTTGACTATAAGAAAAAAATATAATTGGAAGGGATGAGGATAAGGATTTGAATACGATGGAAGGAATAATGGCAGCTTGCAAAATTGATGTGCTGACCCATTTTCTATTTGTGGGTCCTCGATTAGGTTAGGTTTGGCCAATTTCATACATTTTAGTGATGTGAATGCTTGAGAGGATGGGCTGAATCATGTATAAACATTTCCATATTTGTTATTTGTTTTAACAAAAAATAAATGAGGAATGTGTAAACTTAAAAATAATGTGTATATGCAGCAGTCACACATAATTTGTTATTCAAATACATTTTTTTTTCATCTATACTCTAGCAAATTTATTTGCAAACTTTGTGACAACACATGTACAGTTAATGCCCAGAAACTGGTAAAATGTAATAAGAGTACAGTATAAACATCATGAGTGTCGCTGAGTGGGATCTTGAAATCCCGAAAACGTTTCTGGTTGGGTACGCTCTGACGAGTCGGAACATTAAAGTGTTAATAACTTGGCAAACAAAGTTACGAAGTTAATAACTTGTCATATTACAAGTGAAGGAGTGTGCTGGGTGTTGCCTCCCACACCCATGTAATCTTTATGATCACTCTTTTTATCAAGTGGATTTATCTACACTATCCCATCCTAAATAATATAAAAATGAGTGAAATAGTATGTTTATTATTTTGAAAATCCACAAATATCCTTGGGAAAATTGTGTTTACCAGTATTAATAGATGGAAATGACTGAAACTCGCACAATGCCTCCCTTGTCTAGTCATCCTCGGTCACCCTTTCTTCATTTAAGCCGATTTTTGCACATGCGGCCATCCTCTAGCATGTATTATTCTCAATAAATGGTTGCACTGTACTGTTTAAACAAATAATTTCTTAAAGTAATTTTTTGCAGTTTGGCCACTAATTAGTTACTCCTTCCTTTTTTTTTTTTAATTCTCTGAATCTAGCATCCAAAGGTTTAGACAAAAGAGAACTCAAGGAATCCCATCACAGTTCTCTCAGTCTTTCTCGAAGTGGAGTACCACCTTTCGACTTCCCACAGAGCCTCGGTGGGGGCCTTGGTTCGGGTCTCACTCCTAGTCTAGAAGTTCTACAGAGTCTTTATGGACAGCCTGGGGAGCCACGGGACGTCTTGGCCTCTGTGAGTATCACTTTCTTTTATGTTAAGGCTTAAAAGCCATATTTGATCTGGCATCTGTAAAGTCACCTTTTTTTTATACCTTCTCTCCTTACCATACTTAATTTCTCTTAATTATTATAATAATTCTTAATTTTCTTAATTATTACCAAGTACTGTATTGTTGTATGTGCCATGGATGTTATAGTAAATGGTAATAGCATACAAGTGCAATGAGAAATCAGAAAATGAAGTCCCCAAATATTGTATTAGCTCTCACACAATTACAGTATGCTATCATACTGTACTGTGACCTTTAATTAAGCAATCTATCTCGCTCAGATTTAATGGATTTGTTCCATTTGGGACATTGATGCATGTGCATATCACAATTTTAAGTTTTATCATGGGCACTTCATTCCCATCTAATAGAATGTCAAAGATACAGTAAGCCTTGCATTTAAAATTTCATTAAACCTTAAACACTTTGCGTACAATATTTAAATAGAGGTGAAAAATCTAAGTTAACATTTATCCTTGATGTCAGAATCAAATTGTAATGAAATGCCTCTTCATGGTAGGGCCTCAGTGGGTTCCTGAAGCTAGCTCACTGAGATAGCTCCTCACAGATTTGTTACATGAGCCTTAAATGATCTAAATAGTCTAATAGGAGGGACTAAGAAGGGAGAGCAGGGAGCCACCAAAGCTCTACCAGACAGAGGCATTTTGTTACATTCAATGCAGGTTTTTGGAGGGGTTAACATGTGGCTTCCTGAAGCTAACTAACAACAAAGTAGGAGGAGAACACAGGACATACCAAGGTAGATGCTAGCAAAAATTTCCCACTTTAAGATGGAGAAATAGCAAGGAATAACATAATAGCAGAAAATCAACCTAGAAATAACCAATCACAGGTCAGAGAATTAATGAGATTCCGTGACAAATTTTTGCTGAACCAGCAGATAGCAGAGCCAGTAAGGAATGAAAATATTCTTGATCTGATCTTTACAAACAATGAAGACATAATCAGGAACAATACAATTTCAGATACTACATACTCAGACAAAAAGCTCATTGAGGTTCAAACTAACAATATCTGTAATTGGTCCAAAAGGATTAACAAGTAAGAAGGGTTCTTCAAATACTGTAATTTAATTTTAGCAATAAGAGGATTGACAAGGAAAAAAATAGATCCTGTAAACATCCAGTGAGAAACAGTCCCACACAAGGAATAGGACAATTGACTGTCAAGATGTACAAAGTCTGCTTGAAGCATGTGCCTTTGTGGAGGCTCAGAAAGGAGACCACATTAGAAAGGGAACAGACTTTGACTGTCAAAGAAAGGTTGTTGTTGTTGTTAAAGATTCGCTACCTGGAACAAAAAGTTCCAAGTAACATGGGCTATGGTGAGCCCGTAGATGGAAAAGAATATTGGAAATGCTTCATTAGACATAACTATCACAACAAAGAAAAGTTAATTTATACATGAAGTTTAAGAAATAGAGCAGATGTTGAAGCGATCATGGCAGTCTGAAAAAATTAAATTGGAACAAAAAACTATAAAAGAGATAAAGAATTACTGTATTCTTATTCAATTCATCTAAAGTATTTTGCTTATATGCAAAATCAAAATAAAAAAAAAATCTCCCAATATTGGACCTATACTTACCACTGAAGATTCATACACAGGGGATGACAAAGAAATTAGTGAAATCCTAATAGACCAGCATAGGTTTAGCACCCTAATCTACAACATGAAAGTTCAAGATCTGGACAGCTTCCTTATGGGCAGTATCCAAACCCCTAACAGTAGAACTAATATTAACACGAACACAAAAGCCGTTGAAAGAGAAATTGGCAATATGCCCAAACACTCGGCCCTGGGTCTTGACTTGTGGAATTCAACTTTCATTAAGAAATATAAAGTACTAGTAGCATGAGCACTCGGTGCAATATGGAGAAAACGTTAGATACGGGAGGGACACCGGAAGTACTAAAATTAGCAGATATAGCTCCACAGCGCAAGGAAGGTAGTAATGCTTTGATAAGCAACTATAGCCCAGTCGCACTAAATCACACACAATAATAGTTTTTGAAAAGAGTGATTTGGAATCAAATTTCCAGTTTTATGGAGAACAATGAACTTCACAACCCAGGTCAACATGGATTTAGAGCAGGATGATCCGTCCTTGTACAAATATTAGACTACTTTAACAAAATCACGAAAGCATTAGAAGTAAAACAAAATGCTGATGTTATATACACGGACTTTGCAAAGGCACTTGATAAGTGTGACCATAGAGTGATAGCTCATAAAATGACAAATGTAAATAACTGGGAAAGTAGAGCAGTGGATTTAAAATTTTCTATCAAACAATGCAAAGAGTAGCAGTCAGTAAAATAAAATGAAGTCCAAGGCCAGTAAAAAGGTCTGTATCCCATGCACAGTCCTGGCACCACTGCTTTTTATCATTATCATATCATATATATATATATATATATAGACAAAAATGCAAGTCACAGCTTTGTGTCATCCTTGGCAGATGTTACAGAAACCAGCGTGAAAATTACTTTTGTAGAAGACACTGAAAACTACTAGCCGATATTAATAAAATCTTTGTTTGGGCAACGGGAAATAACACGATGTTTAACCGCGATAAGTTCCAAGTTCAGTACTTGGGTATGGTAGAAATGAAGAACTAGTTTTGAAATGCTGGGTACAAGACGCAACCAGACCTACCTATTGAAGGAAAACTCCATATAAAAGATCTGGGAATTATAATGTCTGACGACCTGACATTTAGTGAATATAACTAGACAAATATAGCAATGGCCAGGAAAATGGAAGAATGGATTACGAAAATGTTCAAATCCAGGGATCCCACCACAGTGTTAATGCTATTTAAATCACTGGTGCTGTCCTACCTTGAGTATTGCTTAGTACTCGCTTCCCCTTTCAGAGCATGGAGAGATTTCTGTAATACAGTAGATGGAATACAGAGAACATATAACAACACACACAGCACAATGAAGTGCCTAAAATTATTTGGACTATCTCTAAAGTTCTCAAAATGTACTCTCTTGAAAGGAGATAAAAGGTATCAGATATATTGAACATGGAAGATACTTGATGGCCCAGGTCCCAAATTTGTGCTGTAAAATAACACTGGAGTGGTTGATATGAGAGGAAATGCAAAGTGTAACAGGAGTAGAGGTGTCATAGGCATAATCAGAGAGCATTGTATGAACATTGGAGGTCCATGACTGTTCAATACTTTCTCAGGAAATATAAGAAATGTCGATTAAGATTCTTCAAACGTTAACTTTTGGAAGAAACAAGTTGGTACCTACATGCAGGAAGTGTCATGCCAACTGGGTTGTAGTGGATATGTGGGCCTGTGGGCCGTTTCAAGCAACAGCCTGTTGGAGCAAGCTCTCACAAGTCGAGCTTGACACCATGCTGGGCTCAGAGAGTAGAAGAACTGGAACCCTCTCCAAGTATACTCCAGGTAAGTCAAGCCAGAAAACAAATGAGCCTTGGAATAGAGAATCACAGGAACTGGTTCAACAAACACATCCACTACAACAGTGTGGGTGATGTGCAGGTATCAATGAGGCGTTGCAACCCAACACAATAAATGATTCACCCCATCTGGACAAACCAAGTACCAGCAAATGAAGGATCCCTCCAGAAACCAGCAGTCTCATTCTTTGCCCAGAAAAGGAGAAGGATGAAGGCTATAACTGTAGAAACTATTCACCAGCGCCAAAAGAACAAAACCCATTTCCCCAAAAGAAAGCTTGAAGCTTCTCACCCAACAACTGGAAGCAAGGGCCAACAAAACAGAGCCTTGAATGCATTCTGGATCAAATAGGCAACCAAGAACCAAAGGTGGGAGAGAAACACCAACCCCTTTTCGAGAGACCAAGATTGCTCAGGAAGAGCATGAGCCAGCCGGAGGTGGAAGAAGGCACGAGAAAACCTTTGAAATTGTGCAGAAAAGATGCAGATGCCAAATACAAGAGCAGCTTTGTCAAGGTCAGGTGATGAGAGGCACAAGATGCCGATTAACAAACAAGACAAAATGGACAAAACCACAGGAATGGATAGAGGAAATGCAACAATGTAAAATAAAGAGGTGAAACGAGTACTAAGAAACTTCATACTGTTGCCGTGACAAAAGATGTAGGTGGGACACCAACAACCCCCGCCACCTGTGCACCATACAGATGGTGAAACACTTTTGTCAAATAGTCCAGATTTATAGATCATAGGAGAATGGTAAACCAACTAGGTACATCGTCGGGTATACTGCTGAAACAGGCGAGCTGCAGAAAAATGCCCAGGTCCTGATACTGGGTCAGAAGAGCCAGAAACAAAAGCTGAGCCGGTCAACAAGGAGCCATAAGGATCACTTTGCCCCGAGAACTGTACTCTATTCACCCTTCCTCCACCTGCATTTTTTATACTTGGCCACAACACTTGACAAGCATTACTTCTATCCCTCTTTCTAGCCATCCTTCCCCTTCCCAGATATCCCTTCCCAGACAGGTACATGAAATGCACCTATCTGGTGCATTTCATGTACATTTGGCTTAACCCATAGATTCCTCAATCACTTTCTGCAATTACTCCTTGTACACAAATCACCATATAGGACTTTCTCCCCATCTGATTTTGTTAATGTAGTACTGTACTTTTAAGTAGCTGTTTCTGGAGGGTGCCCCTTGTGGCTCCCTATAGCTATCTTCCCGAGATTGCTGCTCACTACAAGGTCACTTCAGCTGTAGCTAGTTCGGTTTTGCCTACCGGGTGACCAGAGCCAGAACTTAGCCCCCCCCCACACAGAGGTGCAGAGAGCAGGTGACAATCTGCCACCTCACCAAAGGAAACTTCTAGAAAGATGCTCCACACTCCAGCACAGATTTTCAGGCAACTGGAGTGTTACACAATAGTGATGCATCAAATAAATAAATCCATAAGGGCTGTGATGAGGGTTTGAACCTACGCCCGAGATGATCCCAGATGCGCCTTAGTCGACTGTACCATGACATGGTAAAAGAATTGCAACCTGGAGTGCTACTATTGCATGAGGGAATTGTGTAAAACCCTGAACTGTGCTTTGGAGAAGCTGTAGGATCCTTGTGAGGGCAGTAGCACTCCAGGTTGCAATTCTTTTACCATGTCGTGGCACAGTTGACTAAGGCGCATCTGGGATCATCCCGGACGTAGGTTCGAACCCTCATCACGGCCCTTGTGGATTTGTTCAACTGGAGTGTTTACAGAAAAAGAAGCCTTGCAAACTGTCAAACAAATATCACAAATGAGTCACATGGCATAAAGGATTCACTCAAATGAGCTCGAAACTTGTTAGTACCGATTACCACCACCACATAGCCCGACCCAGGCTCCCATGTGGCTCCTCATGTCAGTTCTGTTTCTGATGTTGGTGTCACCGCATCAATTTGCAGTGCTTCTAGTCACGCCAGCTCAAGGATGAGCCCCAAAGCTTCAAGCTAAGTAACAGCACTTCCTTGAACGTTCTTATCCTGTGGGGGGCCATTTGGCTTTGTTGTATGGTTTGCAATTTTTGTATAGCTTTCATGTATAGCTTTCATGTATAGCTTTTTGTATAGCTTCCCTAAGCATAATTACTCTGAGCTCTGTCAAGTAATGGATGTGCTCGCACCTTGTATCTTGTCATGGAGAGACTTCCACACAGAACACCAATCAGAATGCAGCTTCTACCATCACTTGCATATGATTGGGTAAATATGAGTTCCTCTGATGTCACTGGGAGTGGGAGAAAGGGTTATCTGGACAGTTGGCGAAGTCAGGTCAGCCGTGATGTTCCCACTGCTACCTGGCCCTTCCTCTTTCCAATATGATGGTGAGATTCACCCATGGTTATAGAAGCGAGATTTATAAATTGCCAACTGCCAGTATAATCAGAAGTTAAATGACGACACACTGTATCTGCACTGCAAGTGCAAATCCATAGATCCGATCCATATACACCCAAAAAGGTACGAAGACATGCAAGTACTGTACTGTAAATGGTTTCCAGAACTGAAAGATAAGAGCTACGAGGAGAGGTTAGAGGCATTAAATATGCCAAAACTAGAAGATAGGAAAAAGAAGTGATATGATCGCTACATAGATAATAGGTAATACTAAAGGGAATTGACAAAATTGATAGGGAAGAATTCCTGAGAACTGGTACTCAAAGAATAAGAAGTCATAGATTTAAGCTAACTAAACAAAGCTGCTGAAGAAATATAAGAAAATTCACTTTTGCATACAGAGTGGTAGACGGTTGGAACAAGTTAAGAAAGAAGTGGAGGAGACCAAAACTGTCAGTATTAGTAGTTTCAAAGCATTATATGACAGAGTACTGGGAAGACAGGACACCATGAATGTAGCTCTCATCCTGTAACTACACTTGGGTAATTACACCTAGGTAATTAGGTAATTACTTATTACTTAGGTAATTACCTAACATGAGGCACTTTGTCCTGAGATAAAGGTGGTACCAGTGCACAGTGGACAAGACCACGGCACTTGCGACCATGGGCGCCTGACAGCTGAGTGGACAGCGCTTCGGATTCGTAGTCCTGAGGTTCCGGGTTCGATCCCCCGGTGGAGGCAGAGACAAATAGGCAAAATGTTTCTTTTAAACTGATGCCCCTGTTACCTAGCAGTAAATAGGTACCTGGGAGTTAGACAGCTGCTACGGGCTGCTTCCTGGGGGTGTGTAACAAAAAGGAGGCCTGGTCAAGGACAGGGCCGTGGGGACGCTAAGCCCTGAAATCATCTCAAGATGACCTCAAGATGGGGTTCAAGTGGAGCTAAAACCACCATTCTCTCACTGTCAAAACATATTGTTTGGCTTTGTTGAAGCCACTGTTACTAGCATTGATAACTTGATAGCTCTGTTGCACTGTTCCACTGGTTGTCTTGTGTGTTCTTCCACCCCTCTGGCCTGCTCCTCCTGAGCCATTCTGGTCTCTTGACCGTGTTCTGACTTTTCTTTCCTCACCTCGGTTTATAGTTCCCTTTTGACTCGTGATGTGTTTCTTGAGGCGGTTTCTTGTTGGCTCTCGCCTCCTGCTGTCAGGTTGGGGGAGCTTGAGGCTCTTCGCCAGAAGATGGCAGTTCTGTTCTTTTGGCCCTGGCAGGTGGTTTGTTTGCAGCCATCTCCTTCTTTTCAGGTGAAGAATGAGTTGGCAGGCTTCCAGAGGGGTCCTTTGGTGGTTGATGCTTGGTTGGTTTGGCCAGGGGGGTGTATTGTGTTTTATGTCTCGTGGCATCTGCTTGACACCAGTTCTGTCTCGGTGGATGCCTTATTGGTTGATCACGTTTCCTTGGTTCCCTGTTTCAAGCCTCTCATTTCCTAGGTCGTTCATGGTGTCATTGAGTAGCCAGCCTGCCGTCTACCCTCGGGTCTATACTGTTCATAAACATGTGGCTTTGGCCACTGTTTTCTCTAATATGCCGTGGGCTGATGTTCAGACTTGGGTTTTGGTGTTGTAACTAGATACTGGAGGCCTGGTATTTGATTATTGTTCCTGGCAAGTTGGTTATGTGTGGCTTTGGGTTATGTTGCCCAGCCTGGTTTCTCTTCATCTTGAGTGCCTACTGCCTCTCCTTCCTGGTACATCCCTTTCTTGTTCTTTGGGGTTACATTAGCTTCAGGGAATGCCAAGGGGTTCCCTCCAGAAACCAAGCATTGTATGTAATGAGATGCCAATTTCTAGATGAGCTCCGGTGATTTCGTGCCTTTCCCTGCCATCCAGGTTCATTGGTTTGTTGTGTTTTTTTTCATCGGGTCCTGAATTGGCAGTGCCTGGTGGTGGTAATCAGTACTAATGAGTTTTGAGTGAATTTGAGTGAATCCCTTGTTCATTGTTACTCATTTGTGGTAGTTGTTTGGTGGGTTTTCAGGGCTTCTCTTTCTGTGAACCCCCACCCCCAGTTGTCTGTAAAGCTACTCTGACTTTCTAGAGGCTTGCTCTGGTGAGGTGGCAGATTGTCACCTGCTCTCTGCACCTCTGTAAAGGGGGTGGGAAGGGGCCAGGTTGTGGCTCCGGTCACCAGTGGGCTAAACAGAACTAGCTACAGCTGATATGACCTTTTAGTGTGAAGCCATCTCGGAAAGATAGCTTTAGGGAGCCACCACGGGTCTTCCAGAAATTGGTATTTCATTACATTCAATGTTTGGGTATTATTTATTTTGCTGGCATAGTTACTGAGATTACTGTTTAGAAGGTAATGATAAAGATAAGTAAGTTGCAATGTTTAGTTGAAAGAAACTGTGGAATGTAATTTTCAGACAAATGGGCATAGATATGCGAAATCTTAGTTTTATTCTGAAATGCAAGCATGTGTCGTTGACAGCTTTGCATACTGCATTCAGTAGTTACTAAGTGTAGTATTGCATTATTATGCATTGCCTAGTCAGTGAGTATTAAGTGCCTAACACTTGCTCTTTTGTTGACAGATGCAAGAGGCTCTTCAAAGGCAACTTCTTGGGACAGATGGGAAGCGGGAAGAGAAAAAGAAAAGGGTAAGAGGTTTAGCATTCAGTGTAACCCTCAAAACAGTTTTCTTATTAAAGGGAGGCTAAAGCCTTTCTCATGCACAAATTAGCAGTAACTTCTTAAAATAAGGCCTACAGGTAGTAGAGTAGTTGACCTCGGTCACCCATGGCAGTACAGTACTATCATATGGAAGCGAAAGGCATGTCTCTTACCCCCATTAATTGGTTCTTTTTTAGGCAACACTCACACTGCAGTTCCACATAGTGGTCTGTTTCATGTGCTCCACCTTCATATCACCATTTCAGTAAATCCTCTACTTATTTTTTTTGTAAATTTCCTATTTTTTCTGTTTCTTCTGTAGTCTCTCCTGACTTGTATGTGCTTGCTGAGGGCCGTCCTCACTCTCCCCTCACATTCTATGTCTCGGTGTAAGCAAGTGGCGACTGCTTCACTTTAACAACCAGCCAAATCACATGTCAAATTTTCCAACTGAAATTTCGGTTCTCTCAAGTTACTTTTGAATATTTGAAAGTGCTAGAAATATTCAGGTGAGATTCCACATGTGAGGACTTCCCTTAATGACAGGATGTTCCCAAAGGGAGCAAGGCATCAGATATATGGGTAGACAGGATGTTCCCAAAGGGAGCAAGGCATCAGATATATGGGTAGACAGGTAGATAGATTAAAAAAAAATTAAACAGTTTTTATATAATTTTTTTTTTTTTTTTAAAGATCAGAGAAAATGCATCATATCTGTAAAATGTGTTTTTGACAGATAGTTGACTCAAGATTTCATTGCTATTGAATGCCTTGGATTAAAAATACTGAGAAATGTGATCTGATAGTCGAAAAAAGACATGAAGATGTTTCAGTGATATCTTGTATGATGAGGCTTCTTCATAAAAATATACATCAAGATAGCTACCGTTTAGTAGTGCTATGAAGGACTTATCAATTAATAAAACAAGTGGAATAAAGCAATTATAATAAAAATTGTTAACAAATTAAAAAGGAAATAATTTTTCTCATTTTCCATTAAAGTTCCACTTTATTCACCAGAGGGACAAGGCTCACAAGCAGTCTTTTTATCAGATGGAGGATGCTCAGGAACGGGCACGACATCTGGGACGAGGAGTCTCCAAACCGAAGAAAAACACAGTTGCTTCTTTACTGGAACAATGTCGTGCAGCAGGCATAAAGCCTTCAAGCCTACCTCTGCCTCCCACTACCTCCATTGCTGCCACTCCAGTCACTACCTCTCCTCCCTTACACGTGGCATGTTCACGCTCCGGAGAATCTCTCTCTCTGAGCTCGACGTCTCCAACGTTTAATTCGTCATCGTCGTCGTCACCTTCTCCGGCATCACAGTCTCTCCCGGCTACCTTAATTCCGGGACTACCTGTGAACCTCCCCTCATCATTGTCTGCCTCCATTGGGTCGCCTGCACCCCCTCCACCAATACCAACCCCTCCAGTGCCCTCCCTCTCAATCTCTGCAGTTGCATCCTCTCCTGCTGTCTCTTCAGAACCTTCCACTACCACCACCTCTAGTACAACCTCTACCTCTTCCGTTGTCTCGACACCCATAGCCACCTCGTCTAGTACCTCATCTTCCACCTCATCATTAACATCACTATCGTCCTCATTATTATCATCTTTATCATCGTTATCATCGTTATCATCATTATCTTCATTATCATCATTATCTTCATTATCATCATCATCACCATCATTAGCAACATCAGCAACATCAGCAACCACCATCACCACCACTACCACGACTACCACCACAACTACCACTACCACTACCACCACCACAACATCAACAACATCAATATTATCAACACCACCACCACCACCACCACCATCGTCGTCGTCATTATCAGTCACGCATCCTTCAGTATCTATTACTGCCTCATTGGTCACACCTCTCCCTGTGTGTCTCCCACCAACCCTGTCACTCTCGTCCTCTGTTAGTATTACTTCTGTAACTCCAGAAACCACCATGACATCAATACTCAATAAGCCAAGCATCACAATTCACCCAACCACATCATCTGCCGATACCCAAGACAGAGGAAAAGATCCTGGGGAGGTGGAGAATTCGGTGAGTGGCCTCTTTATTACTTAGTTTCATAGCTGATTGAGGCTATGAATAGTGGGTGTCCATTCTCGTGTCCATACTCATTCCACATTTAAATAAATAAGAGTAGCAATTTTTTTTTTTTTTTTGCCTAATATTAATAGTTTTCTTTTCTTGAAGTTGGTACTGTATTTATAACTTAAATTCTGGCCACCATATTCCAACTACATTTGTTTAGGCACTTGCATAACTTTTCAGGATTTCTGCTCATGTGAAAGGCATTTTATGCAGCTAATTGTACTCTAATAAGAATTTTGCTTTCAATTCTTCGTTACCAGTCTACTTAAAAAAATTTGTGATATTTTGTATTTGACTAGTTAAAACATTTTCATTTGTTACATTTTGTTCTTGTAACAGGTTGATATTGTGGCAGTCGGTCGAGCACAAGAAAATGGAGGTGATAAACCAGTTAAAAAACGACACATGATCACTTCTAGTAGTGTGGATGGGCGCCTTATCACTACCATCAAAGCTGCCACAGGTGCCTTGGATTCTTCGGAACTCAGCGATTCTGAATCGGAAGATGAATCGACATCCCTCTCCTCCATTGATGACGACTCTATGAATCACATACCCTCGCCATGGCTTAAACGAGACACACCAGATTCTCCGTCAGTTCGCAGTGACTGTGAGTCTCGGTATAAATTGTTGAATAAAGTTTACAAAATCTTAGTAATTTTTAGCTCCTTGTTCGTTTTTATACAATCTCAAAAAAACAACTAGCTATAATGACTTCACTTTTTTTAAGGATTTTTTTTCCTTTGCTATTAGGTAAGTGATATAAAGTGGATATCATAACTATTCTTTGTTATCTTACAGGAGTTATTATTGCTATATCATTGTGTTTCCTGTTAGACCCAGTGTTTTCAATGCGTCACTAGCATGATCATGTATTCACTCACCACTGCTGGGCTATTAGATTACATGTGACTAAAATGACATTAGATACTAGCAAAAATATACATAATGTCACCCCCACCCCTGAATTATTTGATTAATTGATTGTGTAATTGATTAATTCTTTGGTTTGAATATGCTAAGGTGATAAGCACACTATAACCAAAGTAATGTTATTAATAAGGTATGATAAGCCTACACTACTCATATTCTTAACTTTTCCTAAAACTGTTAGCAACAATGGCAGCAATGTATTATCCTTTCTGACCACGATAAAAGCATTGAAAGTTCTGATAAGAAGTTCTTATTATGGTTAATGCTCACTTAAATCTGTAATAAATGTCTTGTAGTAGTAGGCATCCTTCAGTCTCTTGAGACTATAGAGTTGCGCTCTGGTTGTCAATCTCTCCAGGGTGCAAAGCCTGGGTAGGTAGATATTCAGGAAAAGCTGTTACCTATGCAGCAGATTCCCCCTCTTGACATTGCTGGAATTATCCAATGGAAAGGCACATGCCAATACACATGGTTCTAGCACCGTCGCAGGAGTTGCCAGAACGAGGTCAAAGTCGGCGACGATCTGCCTTAGGGGCTCCAACTCCTGATTTTTCCTCGAGGTTGTCTCCTGAAGCTTTTCCCAAAAGAGGGGTATGGCCGCAAGGCAGTGGAGGTTTGAAATCGGGGTTTTCCTTCCCCTAGATGGGCTGCCTTCCCAGGCTAACGAGTCCCATCTACCTGGAGCAACTTGTTTTAAGGTGGCAGAGGCACGCCCTCGCCCCTTCTCCTGTCGGTAAAAGCAGTTCCTCCAGACCTAAAGACTAAGCCACCCATGCAGGCCAGGTGTTGGACTTGGTTGTCAGAGGCTATTTGAGACGCACGCCGTACGGGAGCTTTTTATAGGTAATGGGAGCTTGTCCCCATTACTACCCCCCCTGGCTATGACAACCCCTTGGAACCTACGTAAACGTCTAGTTGTCTTGTACGTAAACGTCAAATGTCTTGTACGTAAACACTAACAATGTTCATATATAACAGGGTCTCCAAACTTTTCAGTACAACAGCCACATTGTATATATTATGTTTTCATGTGCCAAAGAAAATATAATTTGTTGAAATGAATAAGTTTTATCTGGACCTTTTTTGGGTAATCGTCATGATGTGATTAACTGATTCACTAGCAGAAATGATGGGGATATATAATTGAAACTGACATTCTCCACTCTTTGCCAATCAAGTCCAGTGGACTTGAATGGTGAAGAGCATCCCAGAAATGCTTAAGTTGTTAAATCGTGTACACAGGCTTTTTAGACTTGTGAGGTCTTGGATGTAACCCTGTTAGCACCTGTCATGGACTAAATGCAGAAGTTGGCCATGCCACTCTCATCTGTCTGATGAGAAATAATTCAGCTGTGCTACACAATGTTAAAACAGTAGCCATTGCATTGAGCAATGTCCTTGCAACCAATCACAGCGTGTCATAATGTCGCTTGTCCCTGTTGAGTCTCATTTAGCATGATCTTTTCTTGGCTTAGTCAAATAAATGTTTACACGTAGGAAGTAAATCATTCGCCTTTCAACAATGAATTACAACTTAAACTAAAATATTATTTTGCAGTCAAGTATGATGCAAGGGGACTTGTGTATGATTTAGATCGGGAGAATGACATGCATTCAAATTTGAATGCAACCCAAGTCACATCTAATAATTATGTTTAGATTCCTCATAATGTATTTGGGCGAGTTCATTCTTTTATATTTTTCATGTAGCAAGCGGGAGAGGAAATGTACAGTATAACTAAAACATCCTGGTAACTGTCTTGACCTGGTTGGATACTATGTTTTCTGACTGTACTGTATTTTGTTTTTTCTCTTAGCTCCGCCCACTAAGAAGCGGAAAATGATAACGGATGAAGTTTCGCTTCGTGTTCCTCTGATGTATGGCTGGCGACGAGAGACAACCATGCGAACCATCACCCAATCTGGAGTTCGGGGTGAAGTGATTTACTATGCACCGTGTGGAAAACCATTTCGTCAATATCCTGACATTATGAGGGTAAGACATCAAACACTTTTGTTGCTGAATATAAATCTCTTAATTTTGCTTTTAAAATTTGATCAGAGTTTAAAGAAAATTTATTTAAACAATCCATGCCAGGTAAATTTAAAAGAAACCATAAATTTTATAAGGCGGGTGGCGTTTCAGATTTCAATGAAGTTTTAAGTGTAAAAGTGAGTAAAGGTTACATTTAGGTGTCTATAGAGTTGATTGATGGCTTACTGATAGGCCTATTAGAAGAGGTACTTTAGAGGTTGGTGTCATCTACATGTGAGTTTGTGTATTGGTTATGAGTAAGCACAGAGTTGTGGGGTATGAGAGCGAGATCCTTGTTTAGGATGGTGTGTTTCAATAGATGAATTTCAATATTGTGTTTAAATAGAGAGAATGTTGGCAAATAATGCATGAGAGCTTCATGAATTTGTGATTATGACTAATCAAAACAAACCCAGCATGCAAGGAATGCATGGATCAACATATCTAGCCATCAGGTTTAATAGTATTAATTTTGTCTCCATATCATTTGATTAGGTGTTCTCACCTGAGATTCACCTCTTTTGATGAATGGCTTTGTATATATTCTTTCCTAGATGTTTGTGCACATCTTACTTTTCCTTGCTCTTTCTGGATTTGACAAGAGAATATTTAATGTTTATTTCTTTCTCTTTTGCAGTACCTTGAAAAGAATGGTATAACAGAGGTAACCAGAGACAACTTCAGTTTTTCAAGTAAAATTCCAATTGGAGACTACATCGACGCGAATACCCAAAAGCGCCACTCTGAAAACGAAGTCCGAGAGAGCATTCAACAAATTCGCCTGCAAAAAGGGTACAGGCCATTACGAAAAAATGAGTGAGTAACAGTTAGCAAAAGGCAAATGATGTATGAAGTGGATAATTTGAAACGGTGATTAAAATACTAGAGATATACATAAAGGGTCAGAAACATTTCATGGATATGGTGTGAGGCAATGTGTTAGAACATGCCAGCTGCTGGAGAAAACTAGCAGTGATATTAATGCTGACTGGATAGCAGTCTAAATGATGAAATGTTATGTAGCTACCTGACTAGATAAAGTAAAAGGGGAAAGGGAATGGAGAGAGTGCTATATGAGCCCTCGTGGCATAAGAGAAAGGGAAAACATGTCCTGACAGAAAGAGAGAACAGGGTGTGAGAGAGAGAGAGAGAGAAACAAGCCTGACCCCAGGCTGGGATCGGGGGTTAGAAGAATTCCCTGAATCCCATCAAGGTATGATCATGGTATGGGGGGAGAGGGAGAGAGAGAGCGAGAACATGATGTGTGCGAGCGAGAACATGGTGTGTGCGAGCGAGAACATGGTGTGTGTGAGCGAGAACGTGGTGTGTGCGAGTGAGAACGTGGTGTGTGCGAGCGAGAACGTGGTGTGTGCGAGTGAGAACGTGGTGTGTGTGAGCGAGAACATGGTGTGTGCGAGCGAGAACATGATGTGTGTGTGCGAGAACATGGTGTGTGAGAGCGAGAACATGGTGTGTGTGCGAGAACATGGTGTGTGAGAGCGAGAACATGGTGTGTGCGAGCGAGAACATGATGTGTGTGTGCGAGAACATGGTGTGTGAGAGCGAGAACATGGTGTGTGTGAGAGAATGGAGCGTGAGAGAGAACATGAAGCATAAGAGAACTTGGAAAGGCATCATGCACCAGAGAATTATACCTGAAATTATTTAAGTGCTTTTTATAATTAGTGTTTTTCATTTAAAATTTTTACATTGCAATTGACTTAATATACCATACCAGTTTCACTTGGCAGCAATTCATGTGAAGTCCCTTTCACTGAGGCAATGAAACTGCTCAAACACTGCTGTAGATAGTTTGTCAGTCAATGTTGGCACTGTACTAGTTTCTTGTGACACTTCCCAGTGTGGCAGTTGCTTTGAAAGGGCAGGTATCCTTCTGAATTAAAGTTGACATTCACTAAACTTTGGCCACATGTTGATAATCTGAATTACATTCAGATTTGACCTTGAATATCAACACACGTTTCTTGTTTTAAAATTAAAAGTAAGTTTCAAATTAACCAGACCAGCTTTAGTGAATGTGTTGATAAGTTTGGCCTTGCAGATGGTTTTGAAGAATATTCAAGTTGATGATTTGTCAATATGCAATCTTGAAGAGAATAATAACCGTTAATTATGTAATAGATTACTTTTGTGTTGTAAATAATAATTTGAGTACAGTACAGTGGAACCTCGAGTGACGAGTGACTCCAGTTACAAGCATTTCAAGTAATGAGCGAGCTACTCGCAGAAAATTTGTCTAGGTTGACAAGCTTTCGCTCGATTAACGAGCAAACTATATGGTGCTTTCTAGCGTTCCTGCTGGTTCTGAAACACCTCCGACGATAGTGTTGTTATTTCGCAAGTCGAGCGTCTCGCATGACGAGCTCGGTGGCGAAACGGATTAAATTCGTTAATCGAGGCGCCACTGTACTGGATTGCAGGATTAATACTATGTTGATTTAGGTATTGAGATGTATCTAATGATGTGGATGGTAGGAAGGAACTGTTGGCACTGGGATTAGCATACTGTTTCTCGGTCCTCTTGTAACGTTAGCCCATAGCGAGGCATCTCATGATGACCAAGACTGGGTCAATATTGCTTTTGACAATAGGGTGGTTGATATACTGTATGGAACAAGTTACTTGGGTAACATAATAGATGTGGGGAGGGTGTGGAGCAGCAGTGTGGTGCTTGTTTTATTGCACAAATAATCCCAGGAAAGGCAAATTTGTGAGTATAATAATGAAAATGCTGTAGAATTTATACATTAGTGTATTAAAATATTTATCTAATTATGATAGTAAGAAAATTTAACTAGGAATGAAGAAATATTACCACATATTTCATACTGTATATAGTATAGGTATGTCAAATCACACATACAAAATAATTTTGCTAGTATTTATGTAAATTAGTAATGGTAATGTCTTCTCACAGACATAATAACATAGGATAAAAACCCACAGTTGTTTATGAAATTTATGATTTATGTAAATCTGACCTAATTATGCCTGCAGTTGCCTAGTACCTTCTTTTGGGCCATGTCTTTTCAGCTGCCAGCATCCAGTGGAGATCTCTCTACTCGGTAGATTTTTATTGTATTTACGATACCATACCCTCTTCTTGGTCATTATATTTGGTCAATGTTCTTAGGCTGAGGAAGTGTTTCCTTACATTCCTGTGGATCGTTTGTCTCTGGCTCCCATCCCTGTCCTCTCGTTTTGTTGTTGTACCTACTAAACGCAACGTTCTTTCCGGGAAGACCCCCCCCCCCCCTTCCCTTCCTGGCATCTTCCCGAGCTTCCTACCTGGCTAGCTAGGCCCAGATTCTGTTCTTGGTCCCCAGTGGGTACTCGTGAATTGATGGAGTCTGGTACAGTTTTTAAGTGTTAGCTAGCCGGGTGGATATTTTGGGGAGATACCGAGGCACTTGGCAAAAAGAAGCGTTTCGTTATTCTGTATTCAGTGCTGACTATTATCTACTGTCAATACCTCTTAGGATCAAACCATCCAAACGAAACCATCTCAAGGTAGGACCTTATACATCGCAATCGTGTATTCACTTTTCTGTCTCTTATCCAATGTAGATCTAGATCTAGTTCCATCAATCTTGTTCTCTAAACCTCTCAGTTCTGGAATTAGACTTGTGGCATATGTCTGAACTTCAAGTTTTGTCTGCTTTTTTAGATGGAAGCTCGATGTAGTAGCCTCATATTTCAATACCAGTTTTGCATAGGTAGCGTAGAGTGTCTGGAATGCCTCAGTGTCCAGATTCCTGAAACCTAATGGATGCTTACTAATTTTACTTATGCAGGCTATGAGATTCTGTTAATGCGTTTGCCTCTAGAACACTGGTTCCCAAACTGGGAGCCTTTTGGCAATATGAAAGGGGCCATAAGTTGAGGCAGTGTACAGGTTATGATACCAGAGGGTAGAGGGGAAATAACTAACTAGTGTAGTGTTGAGGGCCATTAATAAGAACGCTATGAAAAGGGGGTAATGGCGCTAGAGTTTGGAAACTACTTCTCTGCAGATATGCTTGGCGATCTGACTACCAAATTCTTTCTTTTCCGATTCTGGTCTTGATCCATTCCCACCTCTCATTATCTAACATTTATTTGAGTTGAAGTTAAGCTGCTATCTCTCATATCATTCCTGTAGTTTGTCCTGGTCACCTTGTAGCATTCTGCAGTCCTTGTTCAGGTAATTATATTTAGTATTTTTGTATTGTCTCCATGTGGGTGTGCATGTGTGCGTGTATGTGTGTGCTTGTATGTGTACATGTGTGTACTGTATTATATTAATATAAATATTCTACATGTAATGCAGTTTGCATCTTTATATATACTTTTTCTTTTTTGCTCAGTAGGGATGGCAGAGATGCCCTTGAAATAGAAGCTGAAGCTATCCTTCGAAGATTAGATGCGGAAGAAGAGGCTGAAAAGGCACGTAAAGAATTCATGAATCAGCTTGAAGAACAACAGCAATTGAGGTATGCACAATAATAGTATATTACTCTACGTTATCAGCAGGCAACCTTCGTCATGTTGTCAATTAAACGTAGAGAAATCATAAACTGCAAAAGAGAGAGATGTGAAAATCCAGTAATTAGGAGATTGGCACAGGATTATTTGAGACATGTTAAGTAATAAGAGGGATAGGAAAATATAGCCACTCAAGTCATGGATTAAGAAGAGAGGGACTAAGTGTGTGTAACATTTAGGTTTAAAAGATACAAGAGAAAGGTACAGATAAAGAGTATACAGTATATAGTATTGTACTCTAAATATACATGTTCTTTTGTTGATCAGTAGTGTGCAGACTGGTGTGTGGGATGATAATGTGGCAACTATGTGCATTTCTGTTTACATTTGTGTACAGTACAATACACTGAAATGTGTTGCCCATGTACTCACACTTTCTCCACTTTCTCATTTTCCCTCATTATCAATGTGCTTAAACATTTTTCCTCACTTTTCTCATGTTTCTAAAGTTTCAGTTCCCCGTTATATTTATTTTTTGTTTACTGTATTTCTGTATTTTACAAAAGTTGTCTGATGTTTACTACTTTAAATTCTTATTATTTATGTCTTCATGTCAGGGGGGGGTTTATGTTTGGGGATGAAGTAGAGTACTGTACTAACATTGCCTAATCTTCTCTCACACACACACGCACACAATCAACAGCTTTCCAAGCAGTACATAGTTTCATGGCATTAACTTCTTGTCTCATATTATTTCTTTCTGTCCACATTCTTTGTGTGATTCTAAAAAGGCATAGCTCCTAGACATTCTTGGGAATTTTGATTTAAATTCTTTGTTCCTTTAGTTCCTAATCTTAATATTACCTCTGCTTCTAAAACCTTCACTTTGCCTTTTTTTTTTTTTTTTTTTTCTCAGAGCTCTTTTCTCCCATGTTCTTCATATAATTACCAAAAGCAACCATTTCATCTGCCAAACATTACTTGGGACTACATAGTAAGCAGAGGTTTGCTTTCTTTCTAATGCACCATATTTAATTTTATGTCATTGTGACGCTACGATGTCCTTGCATTCTATTCACTTGACTTCGTATCTTGTACCTAATACGTTGTTGAGCTTCATGAGTAGGCAGTTGCCTTGATAAACATTCAGTAATGTCATTCACCTGTGTTTCACTCAGTTTCTTCAACTTTCTTATAAAAAAGTAGTTTGCAGAAGCTTTATCAACACATTTTCCTTTCCAATCAATATTTTGGCTAATATTGTATTCTATTGTATACTATTTTTTATCGTCAGTTAATTCATGTTTATTATGGTAGCATTTCATTCAGATAGGTTTGGCATTTTTTTATTTTTTGTTGTAATGCCCACTGTTCTTTTCTTTGCATATATTTACACTGAAATGTTGTGTACTAGCCTGTGAAACTTCCTCAGATTCTCGGTAATTTTTCGAATCTCTGTCTCTCATTCCTCAATATTTTATAACTGCTTCTATCCTTAAATTTTCTTGATTTCCTCTGACATCCTCCATTTCATGTACAGGTACCCGCTAAGGCAGGTGTGGTATATTTTCTTGATGTATATACTATAGTGGTAGCAACTGGCAACTGCTTCACTTCTGTTAGAGCCAGTGGAACATTTACAGTTCTTAAGGAAATGTTTTAAGCATTTCTCTTGAATTTTTGCAATGGGAAATGTATAAAGCTTGTAGGTAAGTGGAAATATATGAGAAATATTTTACAGATGTCACCCTGCTTTATATGTGGGAGAAAGCTCTCAGTAGATATCATGTGTGTGCGCTCTTCCCAAATAATAACAAAGTCAACATGATGAGCTGTGTTGCAGCTTTGAGAATTACTTAGTCTTTCTGTGCTAGAACACTTGGTTGCTTCCTAAGGTAAGGATACTGTGTGTGTGTAGGAGAGGATTATACGCAATCTGGCAGAACAACATTGTGGCACCTTTATATACGTTGCTATATATACGTTGTACATACCACACGTTTGCCCGTTTCCTTCAGTCACATTCTGGCACCTGACAGCCAGGTGGACAGCACTTCGGATTCGCAGTCCTAAGGTTCTGGGTTCGATCCCCGGTAGAGGCCGAAACAAATGGGCAGAGTTTCTTTCACCCTGATGCCCCTGTTACCTAGCAGTAAATAGGTACCTGGGAGTTAGGCAGCTGCTACGGGCTGCTTCCTGGGGTTGTATAACAAAAAGGAGGCCTAATCGAGGACCGGGCCGTGGGAATGCTAAGCCCCGAAATCATCTCAAGATAACCTCAAGATGACCACCTACCTATAGTGACCCTGCAGGTACAGCTTGAATAGTTCCTTGTTGTGATAGTGACGATGTCATCCTGCCTGAAGGCATGGTCCTCTCCTGTAGACATCATTGTAAGCCTTACATTCGGGAGCAACCAAATGAATCTGCTCAGAAAGGTGAGTTTCATGTGCACTCAAAGCTTTATTTTTCTCTTCAAGATACTGGATACCAGAAAGTTTTGGAAAAAGTCACATTGTTCCATCCTGCTTTAAATGCAGGGGTAACAAGATGATTTGAGTAGAATATATAGATACCTCTGTGCTTCCATGCTATAATGTTACTTTACAACATTTCACATTCTACCCTAAAGCTGGCCTGCTGACCTTTTTGGACTGACCCAACAAGACTTGCGAGATGGGTAGGCACCAGCATGTTGTACTGAATGAATGATTGGCAAGAATGTGCTGGTGTTTGTCACTGAGGTTGATCTCCTGCCTGTTTCCTTCTTGTTTAGTAGTAATGCTGTTAGTTGACACTCTAGTAGATTCAAACTTATTTACTGTAAAAAAGAGACTTACGATAATTGCATATTTGGAAAGGTACCCATTAGTTTGAAATTTTTTGTTTTGTTGCAAATGCAATTGCATTGATTAAGTTACTTGATAAAGTAACTAGGAACATTTTATATAATAAAATAAGTTCCTATATATGCTAGGAACATTTTCTTAGCATAGTTTTATTTTAAATATTAGATGCCTCTTGTGTTGCCATTCATCAAGTAACTTCAAATATTTTTTTACTATAACATAATTAAATCATTATGAAAGATTCAATGTAATGTAGCCATATTAATAATTGGTATTTGTTTGCTACTGAAAAATTTCTACCCAGTAGATTTGTTTTTGAATAACTATATTTTTGTTTAATTGTTCAGTTACCGCAGAACGAACCAAAACAAAAGAAGATGTAATTGTAATATATAATTTCTTAGATTGTTTCGACCTTTCCTTATGCATAATTGGCTCTTCCTTGTGTTTTGATCGGGGTAACCTTTTGTAGAGTGACTTGTAAATAACACTGTTTACAGTCATCACACATGCATCCATGCTACACTTTTATCTTTCTTTTTCTTTATTTTGTACATGTTTACAGGTGTGTAGTGTTTTCAATTATTTGTTTGTCTTTTTTTTCAATGTTTTCCACTGTAGTTTTGCATTACATTCATCAGCTCAAAGTCTCATGTTTATACTTCAGTTATTTCATTATCTGTTGGCCAGCTGAATTTATAAACCTAATTTATCTTAACTTGCACAATTGCTGTTGAAATTATTATTGTGAATAATAGTTAGAAAGCGCTGAACATTATTGGTGTAATAATTTCCAGTAAACAAGGGCCCAAGTTAGAGAAAGTAATAATGGCTTCACACAACTCTTGCTCCATCTCTTTTCAGTAAATCTTTATATGTATGAAAACTTGCAATGTACAGAAGTAGTTGTATGAATGTTAAAGTCTTGCTATTGCTAGAGCATGATGAGCCCATGGGCCTTGTATATTTATATTGTAGAGAGCACACTACTCTTGAAATTAATAGTTTCATTGCTAATCACAGTTGCTCTGCTTTTTTTATATTGGCTTTTTATTGGGGCTGAAACTCTGTGCTTGCACCTCAGTGTTGACAACGTTAAGTGTAGGGACCGTGGTCCTGAGGCCTGTGGCTTGCCAGGCATAAGCAGTGTTTACAGTTTGTTATTGACTAATCTTATGTGTACAAAAATGCAACAAATTCTTTTCAATATTGATTGACATTGGTTCACGAATAATTTATCATCCACTTTGTCTCCCGCATTCAAATACTGAAACTTGTATTTCATTTCTTGTGGTTGTCCATCTGACTATTGCTAAAACTTTGCATTTTCTGCCAAGTCCTGTTTAAATTATTCCTATTTTGGTGATGATAAATACCTGTTCTTGTATCACATATGCATGCATGGATGGTACAGAAATACTTTCAATGGCAACATTTATAGTTTACTTGCATGTGATATGGAGGAGATGATGCAATATCCTCCCTCTATTGAGGTAGGCATTAACAGTCGTTTCAGGAATGGCCCCCCTTCGATAGCTTCCTGAGCTAAGCACTAGTCCAGTCAAGCCTTAGGGAGATGCACCAGGCCTCTGAAACCCACCCTTGTCTGCTAGGACCTGAATCTGGCTTTCTCTTCGTGGTTACAGGACCTCTGGGGTGAGAGATCATCTAAAAACTGAGAAAAAATAAACCAGAAAGTTGGAGTGCAGGAAAAAAGGCAACTGGGAGGAAATTAGACATAGATAACAAGGCAAACAGTGTTTGCTCTGGAGTAAGCACCCTGATCATGATTCACCTGATCTCCACCAGGTAGCAGCCCAGGTCATTTTAGGCTCCAGCCAGCCTTTTCCCTTCACTCACTTGAAAGGGTATGGAACCTCCGACAGGGCTCATTCTCTGCTTCACTCCTAAGCTATGATGTTAGCTATCTCTGGAACACTAGTTCAAGATTGTGTTTTCATGTCATCCCCATTGTGTGTACTGTATCCCTAATTTCCTATTACGCTCTGACTGTGGGCCAGGTTTTCCTTCTTTGGGAGTTAGCTTACCCTGAGGAGTTCAAGTTCCTTGGCAAGTTGACTTCTCTTGAGGCGTTTTGCTTCCTGGTATCACACAGGGATTTGTTCTCAACTATAAAGCCTGTTGATGTAGTCTAGTAGGTAATTTTGTGATTGCACCTGGCCTTGCTCCTTATGTGTATTAGGGTTTTGCACCTTTACTGAGTGTGTACTGGGTAGCACATGGAAGTGTTTTTGTCTGTGACTGTGTATTCCTTACCCAGCCAGGTGTTTGTGTGGAAGTTTTGGATTTGTTCGACTGAGGCACTTCCTTCACACCTGGTAGATGACTGTTAGACTGTGTGACATTCTGGGCAGGTGGTTAACCCCCCCCCCACCCCTTTTTTTTTCTCCTGAATTGCATTGTGTACTCACCTAATTGTGCTTGCGGGGGTTGAGCTCTGGCTCTTTGGTCCCACCTCTCAATCGTCAGTCAACAGGTTGAGAGGCGGGACCAAAGAGCCAGAGCTCAACCCCCGCAACCACAATTAGGTGAGTACACAATGCAATTCAGGAGAGAGAGAAAAAATGTGTGTAAATGTTCTTGAGCAGTGTGCCCAGGTGTTTCCAGGTGGTGTTTATTTATGTATCCGATTTGTGCACCTCATTGTTTAAGAACTGTCCGTCTCCTTGCTGCTCAGCTTATGTTTGGTGCTGGGGCTTGTTTTGGCATGTCCCCCCCTTGGTGTTAATCTTTGACTATACCTTGGGTGGTATTCCTCAATCTCGTGCTAGTGTTGCATTTCGGTGTTTGGCTGGCTGCCCGTGTCCCCTCTGCCTATTTTCTGTCTTGTTCCTATTTTCTGACATGCTGACCTATATTGAGGCACCATTGAGATAGCTCTGGAAGCTACTGAGTGGCCCTTACAGAAATCAAACATTGAGTGTAATGAAATGCCTTTTTCTAGTGGAGTCCTCGGTAACTCTACATGCCTACCTAGTTTCCTTCTTATCTGTGAGTGGAAAGCTTTGTTTTAGGCAGCAGGCAGCATAGCTGGAGCTGCGGGTGACCTTAGCTGCCACCTGGTGGTGGTCAAATGCTTTCCATTTGGGGGTATTTACCCTACAGCAACAATACTTTACCTCCTTACCTCTATGTAATGAATTTTACTTAAAAGGTTGTTACACTTGTGCTTTCTGGCAGTTTTTTTCTATTTTGGGTAGATTTCCGATACGAACACTGGTCATCTGGTTTAGTGCGTGTTGGGTTCTTGACGTGGCTTGTGGTAGAGAAGGGTGGGTGGTGGAGGCCTAGTGCAGCTTCCTGGGGTTTGGCTGTATCATTACTTATCTCACGGAGCTACTGAGGACCCCACCAGAAAAGTGCATTTCATTACATTGTGCTTGACTATTAAATTTTTTAATGTAGTTTCGTGATCCCTATTTATTTTTTTATCACACGGCTTTTTATATAATTTGATAGCAAGTTTTGTAATACCTAAGAGCTTTTAAGCTAAAAGTATAAGATTATAATTTTTGTTAGGAAAGTAAAGTTTGTATTTTTATTAAATATTTTATTTTTTTTGTACCACCTGTCACATAGCAGCCAAGGGGCATTAAATGTTTCTTATCCATCACTTGTTTTGTGAGTGTGTGTGTGTGTGTGTGTGTGTGTGTGCATATGGTTACTATTTTTGTGTTTGTGCCTGCAAGATCAAGCTATTAGCTGTTGGACCCCAGCTTGATACCCATCACTAGTCCAATGTACACACTTCTGGTCTAATTTTCTCTTTTCATATCTGATACATATATTTCTTGCACACACACAGACACATACACAGCCTTACTAAGTGAGTACAGTGATATGATCGCCACTTGCAAAATAATAACAGGAATCGACCAAATTGACAGAGGCATTCCTGAACAAGAGGACATAAATTCAAACTAAGGAAACAAAGGTGCCAATTTTTTTTTTTTTTAACAGAGAAGTAGATGGTTGGAACAAGCTAACGGAGGTGGTGGTGGAGGCCAAAACCGTCAGTAGTTTCAAAGCGTTATATGACAGTACCGGGAAGACGGGACACCACGAGCATAGCTCTCGTCCTGTAACTATACTTAGGTAATTACACACACTTACAGAAAGAATGAAGAACTATATTTATAAAAAGTGGTTGCAAATGATGCTAAGCTAGCGAAGACAAGAAACAAGCAATTGTCATGCCCTCAAGATTACGGGAACAAACTGTGTATGGAGCAACACTTGGCAAATGGAATTCAATGTGAATAAATTCTATGTTATGGAGTGTGGAATAGGAGAAAATAGGCCACACTTAACGTACAAATTATGTGAAAAAGCATTAAAGAACTCTGGTAAAGAAAGAGATATAGGGATTGTTTTAGATAGTAGATTGTCGCAGAGGACTACATGAAGGACATTGTGTGAAGAGCACAACGCCTTTCAACTTCACAGTCGCTTTTAAATATATGGATAGAAAAATATTAAAGAAATGGTTCACAATCTGTGTGAGACCATAGTTGGTGTATGCAGTGGTGGTATGGTGCCCATATCTCGAGTAGCACATCAGTAAACTGTAAAAGGTGTGACGACATTCGATTCACCTGGGCTCTAGGAGAGACTAACCGCGGCCCCCACGCATGTGAGGGTCGAAGCTGTATCAATTGGGCTATTGAGTAGTTTTAATAAGGAAAAATTCCAGAAGCACCATCCTGTTGCTTGTGGAATTTTCAACTTTTTCAACAAGAACAAGAGGACATAGGTTCAAGCTAAGGAAACTAACCTGCTGAAAAACATTATAATGTTCACTTTTTCAAAC